GACTTCAATGCAAAGGTAGGGAAGAAGCAGGCTGGAGACCAGGCAGTAGGAGATTATGGCATCGGTACTAGAAACGCCAGAGGAGAGCTACTAGTAGAATTCGCAGAACGCAATAATTTATGGATTTTGAATACCTTCTACCGAAAACGAGAAAACCGCAAGTGGACATGGAGGAGCCCTAATGGCAAAAATAAGAACGAAATAGACTTTACAATGAGTGCACACCCAGGAATCGTGCAGGATGTGGAAGTGGTTGGCAAGGTACGATGCAGTGACCCTAGAATGGTACGGTCTCGAATTCGCTTAGACTTGAAGAAGGAACGACAGAAACTGATACGCAAGAAGCAAATCAATGAGCTAGCACTGAGAGGGAAAGTACAGGAATTCAGAGTGTCGTTGCAGAACAGGTACTCGGCTCTTAGTGAGGAAACTAACCTCAGCGTAGATACAATGAATGATAATCTGACGAGTATCATTACGGAGTGTGCAGTGGAAGTTGGAGGCAGGGTAGTTAGACAGGACACTGGCAAGCTTTCCCAGGAAACGAAAAACCTAATGAAGAAGCGTCAAATCACGAAAGTGTCAAGTACAACAGACAAAATAGAACTGGCAGAGCTTTCGAAGTTGATTAATAGACGTAAGATATGCGATGTAAGAAGGTATAACATGGAGAGAATTGAACACGCTCTGAAAAACAGAGGAAGCGTCAAAGCAGTGAAGAGAAAACTTGGGATAGGCAAAAGTCGGATGTATGCACTAAGGGACAAAGAAGGCAAAATAACTACCAATATGAATAGGATAGTTAAAATAGTGGAGGAGTTTTACAGAGATCTGTACAGTAGCCGAGACAACCACGACTTTAAGTACTATAAGAACTAGCAGTAACCTGGATGACACCCCACCAGTAATGATAGAAGAAGTCAGAAAAGCTTTGGAGAGCATGCAAAGAGGCAAAGCTGCTGGTGAGGATCAGGTAACATCAGATCTGCTGAAAGATGGAGGACAGATTGTGTTAGAAAAACTAGCTACCCTGTTTACGAGGTGTCTCCTGACGGGAAGAGTAGTAGAGTCTTGAAAGAACGCTAACATAATCTTAATACATAAAAAAGGAGATTACAAGGACTTGAATTACAGGCCGATCAGCTTGCTCTCTGTAGTATACAAGCTATTTACAGAGGGAATTGCTAACAGAGTAAAGGAAACATTAGAATTCAATCAACCATAGGAACAAGCAGGATTTTGAACAGACTACTCAGCAATCGACCACATTCACACTATCAATCAGGTAATAGAGAAATGCTCAGAATATAACCAACCAATATACATAGCCTTCATAGATTATGAGAAGGCGTTTGATTCAGTGGAATTATCAGCCATCATGCAGACACTGCGGAACCAGGGCGTCCAGGAAGTATATAGAAACATCCTGAAAGAAATCTACAGGGGATCAACTGCTACCATAGTGCTTCATAAAGAAAGCAACAGAATACCAATCAAGAAGGGTGTAAGGCAGGGGGACACAGTCGCCCCAATGCTATTGACAGCGTGCTTACAGGAAGTTTTCAGAAGCCTAGATTGGGAAAAGTTAGTGATAAGAGTTAATGGAGAGTACGTTAGTAACCTGCGCTTCGCCGATGACATTGAATTGCTGAGTAACTCAGGGGACGAATTGCAACTCATGATTACGGAGTTAGACAAGGAGAGCAGAAAGGTGGGTGTTAAAATGAATCTGCTGAAAACAAAAGTTATGTACAACAACCTCGGAAAAGAGCAGCGCTTCGAGATAGGTAATAGTGCACTTCAAGTTATAAAATACTATGTCTACTTAGGGCAGGTAATAACCGCAGAGCCGAACCACGAGATTGAAACTAGAAGAATAAGAATGGGGTGGAGCACATTCGGCAAGCACTCTCAAATTATGACAGGTAGATTGCCACTATCGCTCAAGAAGAAGGCATATAACAGCTGTATCTTGCCGGTACTTAGCTACGGAGCAGAAACCTGGAGACTTACAAAAAGGGTTCAGCTTAAATTGAGGACGACGCAGCGAGCAATGGAAAGAAAAATGGTAGGTGTAACCTTAAGAGAAAAGAAGAGAGCAGAGTGGATTAGGAGACAAACGGGGGTTAAAGGTATCATAGTTGAAATAAAGAAGAGGAAATGGACATGGGCCGGGCATATAGCGCTTAGACGGGATAACCACTGGTCATTAAGGGTAACTAACTGGATTCCCAGAGAAGGGAAGCGGGTTACGGGGAGACAGAAGGTTAGGTGGGCAGATGAGATTAAGAAGTTTGCGCGTATAAATTGGCAGCAGCAAGCACAGGACCGGGTTAACTGGCGGAACATGGGAGAGGCCTTTGTCCTGCAGTGGACGTAGTCAGGCTGATGATGATGATGATGATGATGATGATGGTGATGATGATGTAATGTCAAAGCCACAAAGTCAGATTCAAGCCGCTCTTAACGGGTTCCTGAAGGAATCGTTTCTTATCAAACTACGTGCCAGGACCCGACATTATGTAGGTGTTACAGAGCTACCCACCTCATTTGTGTATATCAGTGCGCTGAATTTACGAAAAACCAAAACGTGAATTTCACTGACCGACCTCTCTCTCAGAGACCACAAGGGAATCCATCCTGCACGCGGTTGAGCCTAATATTGAGTGCAAATTAGAGCCTCAGCTTTTAAGACGTATCGGCTCACTCAGACATCGCCCAAGACTCGCATGTGCTTCCGCAAAGTACTTCTTACGATGTATTCAGCGTGCACCATCGTCAACATGTTTGTGTGGCCTCGTCGACGAGGATGTGTATCTTCTGTTGCTCGACTGCCCGAGCACGACACATACGCAGCGACTCCACCGGGTCAGCGCCATGCACACCGCCGCTGCTTCGCAATCCATCGCGGTTTCCTTCTGTGGGAGATGGTCTATTTTTTCCTGATTTTTTGAAGACATAAATATTAGTATAAAAACGAACTACACACACACACACACACATATATATATATATATATATATATATATATATATATATATATATATATATATATATATATATATATATATATATATATATATATATATATATATGGCCGGCTATCGTCGAGGCAAGTACAAGGTGGCTCTTTGTTAACGGGATGGAATTTCATCCATCCGACGAGCTTACAGCCACTGAGTCCTGCGGCATATCACTTTTCACTTGGTGCGCTTTGTACACGTTTCCTCGTACGTGTGTGGTTTATTGGCAAATAGAATCTGCTCATGTCCTGAAGCTAAGGCTCTGATGACATAAGCGACGCTCACTAGAGTTTTCTCGATAACAATACTTTGAAGCGTGCGCTTCAGTGCACATGGCACCAGAAAGAAAGCCGAGACTTGCAAATAATGTGGCGCGGATCCAAGGCCGACACTGGAATGTACCAGAAATGTAGCTTTCGTGCAGTGCTGACAAGCAGGCATAAAATGTTTCACTTTAAAGAAGAGATTAGGGCTATAGAACATTTTTATTCTATATTATTTTTTTATTTTGCTCCCATGTTTATTGTCATTGTACTCAACAAGGGGTGTGCATACGCAGGCGGGAATTACAATATAGAATTTCTTTGACGAACGACATGAATTCCTATTTTTACGCTCTACAGAACAAAGCCAAGAACTATACTTGATGACAAGTTTTCTTGAAAGCACTGTGGAAGCTGCAAAACCAAAGTGCCTGCTTACTAATACCCCTTAACGTAGTATTCAAGTTAATTGAAAAAGTTCTCATTTGCCTTGTTTAAATAAATGGTGCTTTATATATTATGAGACTGAAATTGTTGCGGGAATTCGTCGGTAAAGAACAGCCATAGATGACTTTACAAGAATGCCCGCCTTTTCTCTCAATTTATTGGGCCACACCATCATTTCTATTTCGTCACGCCAGTTTCCTAAGGAAGACATTACTTCCGTGACAAACACGCTGACAAATATATATATATATATATATAAGGGAAACAAGTGTATACCTAAGGGCTCGTTTTTCCGTGTTTTAACACAATAATAATGAGATATAACAGACAATAATGCCAAGGAATGTACAGGGGAAGTTATTAGAACCAATGGAATGTAAAAATAAGAAGAAAGAAAAGTGGATGAAAAAATTACCAGCTCACAGTTGGTAATTTATTCATCCACTTTTCTTTCTTCTTATTTTTACATTCCATTGGTATAATAACTTCCCCTGTACATTCCTTGGCATTACTGTCTGTTATATCTCATTAATATATATATATATATATATATATATATATATATATATATATATATATATATATATATATATATATATATATATATATATATATATACTAAAAACAAAAAAAAACAAAAGTGATGCTGGGTCAGGGTAAGATTATCCGTAGGGAAGAAGACGCACGTACGAATTGATTTTATTGACGTTTCGGCCGCGGGTCCGGCCTTCATCAGAACATAAGTAAATTCGTCGCAGAGTGGTGAGGATATGGCGTAAATGTTGCGTATTTGAGTATGTGTGGGACTGACTAATTGTTGTTTCCCCTTTATCATTCTCACTTATTGAACGAAAGAGAAGCGTTACCTTCAGCGTCAAACGAAAGCCAAGTAAAGACGGCCTTAGCTGAATTCGGGGACAGCGCTTCTTCTGTTAAACGTATATAAGGAGAGGTCGGTGCTACTGTCGATAACCATGGTCTTCTTCATTGTTGCGGTTTCCGTGCATTTCTTGCGCCCCATTTCGTGCCTGGTCGGTTCCCCTTTCTTTTCCACTGGGACACACGCTCGCTCCACAAATTATGTGAAAAGAGTCGCGGCAATGGCACTAACACCATTGAGCTGGCGAAACGGAGCATCAGTGTAAGCATTGCAGTGGTGTTTAAGTTCTTAGTGAGTGAAAATGTGTCATTGTACCGAAATACATCGTAGTCGTTTGATTCAAGCCCTGAAGATGACGAACGTTTTTTTGTTTTTTTATGCATGCAGACTTTACAAAGTACGCTCCATGCCTGAACAAGGTGGGCTCTAAGTTCCACACCTGCGTCAAAAACTTCATCATGGACCTGGATGTCGCCTCGAGGTTGGAGCCGAGACAGCGAATCACCGGTGGCTGCTGGTAAGTGGGTCACACCAGCGACCTAACTAAGCACGTGTGGATGTAAGTTCATTGTGCTCAGCTAGCATCGTTCCTGTCGCGAAGAATAAAAGTTGTGGTGGGTGTCATGCTGCTCGAGATGCTGGTAAACTGTGAAAATGGGTTTGATTGCGGGGACTTCGTGAAATTATATTAAATCACTTCAATCGATGACTCAATGAACCAATGAATGAATGACTGAATCAATCAATCCTGCTGGGAGACAATTCCTTCGTATTACACATGACCTTTCCTTAACTGACCATGTCTCTATCGCAGGTTGTCTATTCCTTGATTTCCAACAGCCGAACAGCTTAAACTTTTTGATCTGCGTGCGGCACTCGTGAAAACTCGACCTAGCTTTGTGTAATTCATATATTCAAGCTTAACAGAGCGCAGTCGAGTGTACATAAGCATAGTTAAAACTTGTTGAGCTAAGCTTAGCCATCGTTAAGGCGTTCATCACCCGACAACCAGCGATCATTCCCTATGACGACTGTCACGGCCAAGCACGGACTCGCAGCGCGAACGGCGTTTTTTCTGGGTGGACCCACAAGAAGGCACTCCAGAGTTCGACCCATTTCAGAGTTCGGAAGCTTCGCTACAATTACCCCTGGGTCCAAGAGGGAGCTGCCTGGCGACCTAACGGCTTGTCACTACGAGCGGGTCATAATAAGCCTTCAGGCGCTCCACGTTGACGATGTTGCGCCCGCGACGGCGCATGTCCGAAGACTGTTCAATTGGTTCGATCAGATAGTTGGCCGGAGATGTGCGCTCGATGACCACGGTAGGGGCCTTCGTATTTCGGAAGTAGTTTGGAAGAAAGGCCAGTTACAGAGGTTAGGATTGAGAGCTATACGAGGGAACCAGGAAAGAACGTGGGGTGGAGCCATCATGAATACTTTTCGGTCGCTCTTGCTCATGCGTCGTAAAAATCTTGGCAAGCTCGCGACACTCTTCAGCAAGCCTGGCGGTCTCGGAAATAGGTGTACACTAGATGGATCCGGCGGGTACGGGAGTATCGCCATGAATATCTACATTAGGCGACATTATTTCTGGACAGAACTGTGGAAGATACAGAACGTAAACGCATACCTGCTATCACGCGAAAAATAGATAAGTTTACTGGAAAATTTTATCATTTGCTTTGCGGAAATATTGCTGCTTTCATATGAGACTCGAACAGTTGCAGGAAGTCATAGGTGAAAAACAATGATCTTTCGATTTGAAGAGTGGCTACCTTTTCTTTCCAGTTTTAGCGCCACCCTTTCCGCGGGCCCGTTTTTGAAATGAATCATGACGTACATGACGGTGTGGACTATACTTGCGGAGGAAGGCGAATGTGCAGAAGCCCTGCTGCCGTTGTCCTTTCGCTGTAATGTCAAGATAAGTTCTCGCCGAGTATAGTGGTAGTCCATCGATAACAAATCAACAGCTAATATATAATCCTTCAATTTTCGCTAAAGCGCATAAAATGTTCGTATGTGTTACGCTAAGTCCAAATACATGGCTAAAGCCTAATAATAGTCCGCCAATGCCAATAAATACTAAATCTCTAACTTAATTGTAACCAATAAACCTATTACAATGCTTGGAAGTCTTGACGATGGCCCAAATAGAAGGCCATACGATAGTAAATGCCTAATATTTCAACTACAGCCTTTTATACAATACAAGGCCCAGGCATAGCCAATTGGGAACCTATCAAAAGATAAAAAAATACTGATCAATGACTAAATTCTGCAAGATGCTTGGATGAGCTTGGCCTGACTAAAGAAAATGTATCCCTGATACGTCCTGAAAATCAATTTATAGTCAAAAAGTTGATAGGCAATACGTAAATTACCTTGCGAAACTTGGAAAAACCGAACACCACCTCGCCAAGCCAGGACCAGAACGTGTTGACCAGCTCTGCTGTAACCCAGCTTTGCATCACTAGGACAAAGCAGCTTCATTGTTTTTAGAGCAGGGTTCGGAACATTGCGGCCATGGGGCGGTATTGTTAGTCCCTCAGCACGGCGCGAAAGCATTGCCCCTTCCATGGTGACCTCTTATATGGAGGCCCACATGTCAGTTTTCACTTCAAATAAGGTTTTGACTTTCGGCCATACGTGCGGACATAACCTGTAGGCAGTTTCTATATTTCTGTCCCAGTTTTATAGTTTGGTTAGAGTTTAGCCCAATTTTTACCCTCTGACTGCCAAGCACGCGTCGCTTTGCCGTGCTGCCCCCCTTCCCCCGAAATGTCGTCGTCGGTTTCATGCAACTCACTGCCTCAAAAGCTTGCTCTTCGTTGTAGAACAATCGATTCGGAGAGTTTTGGCCATTGCCGTCATGTTCTGTATATATATATATATATATATATATATATATATATATATATATATATATATATATATATATATATATATATATATATATATGTAGTCTAGTAGATCCTCCGTGAGCGGTCACAACGTGGTTTATTTCGACGTTTCGGCCTAGAGTCTGGCCTTCATCAACTGTATCTTTATTCCTGATGAAGGCCAGACTCTAGGCCGAAACGTCGAAATAAACCACGTTATGACCGCTCACGGAGGATCTACTAGACTATATGCAACGCTACGGCCACTCAACCACCATGCCTGCATATATATATATATATATATATATATATATATATATATATATATATATATATATATATATATATATATATATATATATGCATGCCTCAAATGGTGACAGACAAAAGTCCCAAAAGAGTAGCGTATCAATAAATGTCCTTGACCGCTTCTCTGAGGAACCTGCTATTTGTGATCAGTACTCACCGGAACAAACCTCGTGTGCACGAATGCATATTTCTTCTGCGGGCTAAGACTAGTGTGTTCGGTGAAAAATGAAACTTCTTAGCTCATTGAGCAAAATACTTTTTTTGCTTCTTATGGCCCAGTAGCTAAGTGAAAAGAAGTAGTGGTAACCACGAAATCAACGATAGCTCAATCACTTGTTCTTGTTTCAACAATTAGTGCGGCTACAAGGATACAATGGTTCTGCATTGGTATAGTTTCATTCGCGTTGACAGAGTTGACACCTCTTGTCTGCCTTTTCTTGCGCAGTAAGTACAAGAAACTGGAGGTCTGCATGAGCGACGCCATCCGCGGCACCTGTGATAAGGGGGCGCACGACTTCGTCAAGAGACTCCTGAAGCACTACGAGGGCAATATGCTGGGCATCTTGTGCGTGAACCACTGGGACAAGGCGAAGTGCGAGGCGATCAAGTACGACGACAAACCGGGGGACGCGAGCCTACGCTCCGTGATCGCGCCGCTAATCAAAGTGCTAGAGGCTATAGACGCCTGACAGCACGTTGCGACTGTCAACGTTTGGGGCAATTAGATGCCAATAAATCGAACTAATGATATTGACGACATCGCGAGCTTCAGAATCACAGAATGAACAGTTTGCAAAATAGTTTGCAAATAGTTTGCAAAACATGCGAGCAAGTTTTGTTTTCAACCAAATAACCTATATCATAATCAAGACGGAAAATTGTTTCTACTATTCGTCATTGACCCCTGCCTTTCGTTTATTTCGTTTCTACTATTCTCTTCATCCACGTATGCACGTAGCGTACAACGAGGCATGTCATTCCGGCAGTGTGCGTTGAAAAGCCTTTGAGGTTCCTTGCTCCCCACCTTCGCTGGAATGTGGACCAGTCTACGTCCTCAGAACAGCAAAAGTTGTCTGGGAAAAAGGCTTCTACTTGGAAAACATTGCTGCGGAAAAGCCAACTCACAGGCGTTTTTCAAACGTAAACTCAAAAGGTTGCTAACTAATGCTAAATGTCTATTCATTGTCATCATATTCATTATGTGCTTAGTTAACTTTAGAAGTAGCATCTGATTGTGTGTGTCCATGCTATGTTTCATACGCAAGAGTCAACGCCGTGGAAGCTCCGCAAGATGTTTGCTCAGCAGTATCTATAACTGTACGCGTCTCACATCTGCATTGTGTCGTCGCGAAGGCCCAGCCACACGGGTGGGTTGCAGCGCACTTACTGGTGACCATATGAACCTGAAGTGCAGCTGCATTAACTTTAGAAATTTTGTAATTTCTTTAGAAATGAACGAAGGAATGAATTGAGTCTTTGTTTCATGAAAGGCGATGGTTCTCGGTCGTAGTTAGGGAAAAGTGTGGGAAGCGATTGTTGGGCGAACAGCGTAAATATATTAAAGTGGTATCTCTTTTCGTTGGTTCTTCGAATAGGTGCACTTGCATCCAGCATCCGCAGATGTTAAAGCCACTCTAGTACGAGGTAGTTTTGAAAGCCACTCTAAATGCTCACCACCGGAGCAGCTATAGTTGTTCTAACGGTGAGTATTTTAGAAGCGGGGACCGCGGAAAAATGATCAGTGTGCTCTTCATGTTCAGACATTTATATTTTAGCGATGTGATTCAAATGTAGTTACATGTTTGGCTTTGGCCGAAAGGGCCTGAAAAAGGCCTTCATTCCTAAAGGTTCGCCCAAACTCTGCATTTTAAAGGCCTCATGACCCCAGACTCGAGTTCCCTACACAGTGCTGAACCGCAAAATAGAGCATCTTGGCTGCTTGGGTTGTGGGCCACATAGTTTGGTTATGCATGGTTACACCAACGAAGTAGGTAATCGATGAGTGGGGAATAGTGTATAGAGATTTGGACGCAATGACGAAGTGCTCCTTATTTATGCAGTGCGCCATCGGGACCCCCGACATTTTGCTTTTGCGGTTGTAGACAGTATGACCCAGTACCCACTATAGTTAACCTTTCTGTTTTTGCTTCAATTTAAAGCTGTCACGTCCGTCCTTAAGTCGAAGCTGTAATGTTACTCCTGAAATTTGGACAACAAAAATTATAATAATATGGCCTTCAAAGACGTAACAATAATCTCGTAAGAGGTGCGGTGACCTTTAGCAGGATACATTTACAACGCACTATAGTGGCTTAAGTGATGATTGCACGCTTTTCGCACGGAACTCCGAGTATTATTTCTACGGCGACAGTAAACGATCCTTTCTCGCGGGATCGCTGTGATCATTAAAAATTGCCATGGTGTCTTTTATGTTTCATGAAGTAGGTGCTGCTTTTCCTTAGCAGGAAGGGTTGTCCTGCTAAACTCGGGAGCGACGTTTCGGATGCCGGCCATGGCGACCGCATTTCGATGCAAATGAAGGGCCAGGACACCCGCGAGCTTACATTTATTTATTTATTTATTTATTTATTTATTTATTTATTTTACCCTCAGGGCCAAATGGCATTACAGAGGGGGGTGGGTTATTTACAATAAAATATTGAATTTAACAAAAAAAGCAGTGAATACGGTTAAATCGTACAAATAAATTTGGAAGAGCACAATGTTTGTTAATATGCTGTATAATAATACATGTTAGGTAATACAACAACAAGCCTAAATATACAATGTTAGCTGTTGCAACAAAACACAAAAAAAAGAACTTATTACACAATGTTAGCTAAAGCATCACGGAACAAATTGTTATCAGTAATAGCAACAATGTCACCGGGAAGTCTGTTCCACTCCTTTGATGTGCGAGGCAAAAAAGAATTGAAAAAAGTTTTTGTGTTGCATGAAGGGATGCCTACTTTGTGATGGTGGTCAATGCGGTGGGAAATGTGCTGTGGGCGAAGTAGTAGTTGGGCATGCAAGATGGGATGATGGTAGATCTTGTGAAATAGAGTTAGACGGGAGACTTTTCTGCGAGATGCTAAGGAAGGAAGTGCAAGTGAAGTTTTCATGGTTGAAATGCTAGCGGTTCTGTTATAATTGGACAATATAAAACGAACGGAGTTATTCTGAACAAGTTCAAGGGAAGTTACCAGGTTATTATAGGTAGGGTCCCACACGGTTGTAGCATATTCTAGTTTAGAGCGTATTAGTGTTTTATAAAGTAGCAGTTTTAAACCATGTGGAGCGTTAAAAAAGTTACGTCGTAAATAGCCAAGCATGCGGTTAGCATTGATAATGATGTATTCAATATGAGTTGTCCAGTTGAGGTTAGTTGTTATGTGAACTCCAAGATACTTATAAGAGTTAACAGAATCCAAAGGAATGTTATTAAGATAGTAAATAGGTGAAGTAGTGCAACTTCTTGATACACGCATGATTTTACACTTTTTAATGTTTAGGTCCATTAGCCATTTATCACACCAGTTAGATATAGCGTTAAGGTCAGACTGCAATATATTAATGTCATTATCGGTAGTAATTTCTCGAAAAATAACACAGTCGTCAGCAAATAGATGAATTTTTGATGATACAACTGATGACAGGTCATTAATATAAATGAGAAACAACAAGGGACCTAAGACGGACCCTTGCGGAACGCCAGAATGAACTTCGCGAAATGGAGAATTATGACAGTTGGCAGTAACGAATTGTGATCTGTTAGTGAGAAAGCATTCAATCCACATTAGTAGGTTACCGTCAAGGTTTAGTTGGTGTAGTTTGTAAAGTAGAAGTCTATGGCAAACCTTGTCAAAAGCTTTTGAAAAATCTAAAAAAATACAGTCAGCATGGGATGATTTATCAAGGATCTGATGTAAGTGATGAGTGAATGATATTAGCTGTGTTTCACATGAATATGTTTTACGGAAGCCATGTTGTGCTGACGTGAAAAATGAATTTGATTCTAAAAAATTGACTATGTTTGTAAATATTATATGCTCGAGCATTTTACAACAAATACTGGTTAAAGAAATGGGACGATAATTATTCGAAGAGTGTTTATTACCAGATTTATGGAGTGGAACGACTTTTCCGATTTTCCATTGACTAGGAATAGTAGAAGTATCTAGTGACTGTTGAAAAATTTTAGTAACTATAATGGAACTATAAGCGCTAGTATTTTTTAAAAATTTTGTGTTAATACCATCATAACCAGGAGATGAATCGTTCTTAAGTGATTCAATGAGACGTACAACTCCAAGAGTTTCGATAATCACGGATGACATGGGTGAATAATTGTGCAAGGTTGCGCTAGGTAAATCATTATGGCTATCTACGGAGAAGTTTTGGATAAAAGAATCGTTGAGAACAGAAGCGCAAAGGGCTTCACTAATTTCGTTACCGGATGAATCGATCAAGGAAATATGATTGTCAGATAGGGGGTTAATAACTCGCCAGAATTTTTTTGCATTTGTTTGTAACATAGACGGCAGGACTTGAGTGAGGAAGTTGTCTTTAGCGGATTTTAGTGCAGATATGTAGATGGATGATGCAGATTTGTAGGCAGCCCAGCGTGGGTGGTTAGTGGGTAAACATCTTGCTGCACGATAAAAACGTTTCTTTCGGTTAGATAAGCGTTTGATGTACGCGTTGTACCATGGCGCACGTGCGTTAGTTGTGATAGTACGGCAAGGGATATACTTATTGGTTAGTTGTTCAACTTCATCTGCAAACATATCCCAGTTACACTGCACTGAACGGGTATCAAAACTGCTTAGAAATATGTCTAGAAAAGTTGCTAGTTCACTGTTTATCTTGTCAAAGTTGGCTTTTTTATAGTCCCGTATCTTTTTCTTTTTTTTATCTCTATTAGGACAGGGTGCATTAATGAAAATGAAAGTAAAGAATGGTCACTGATACCTGGTGCGTAGGTTATAGCGGTAACAAAGTCTGGTCGGTTTGTTAGTATCAGATCAAGAATGCTAGCACTGTTAGTAGTTGCCCTAGTCGGTAAGGCCACTACTTGCGTCAGGGAAAACGTTGAACATAGGTTAATGAATTCATTTGGTTGCGGCGAAGACGGTAAAGAGTAGGGTGCGTATGCGTTCCACATTATACTAGGAAAGTTAAAATCTCCGAGGAGAAACAGGGGATGTGATGGAAATCGTGTGCAAACTATATTAATTGCGTCGTGAAGTTCATCGACAAATGTTGAAGGTGAAGAGGGAGAACGATAGCATACACCTAATATTATCTTATGGTGTCCAATGGTTACTATAGCCCAGACTAGCTCTAGTTCAGTGTTAATATGAATACAGGAAGAAGGAGTGTCTTTTGAGACTGCCAGAAGAACGCCGCCTCCCCTGCGCACTGTCCGATCACAACGGTACATGTGAAAATTGGTTGCGTCATCAAAGATTTCTTGATCGCGGACATGCGCATGGAGCCAAGTTTCAGTCAATGCAACTATTTTTGCGCTACATGTATCAATAGCTGATGATAAAGAATTATATTTATTTAGTACACTTCTAACGTTAGAAAAAATGACAGATACCTGAAGATTTGATTTGTGGTCACCTCCCCTCGCGCAACCCTATGTAGTCGTGTTCACAGAAGAAGAAGCTCTCGCATTATTGACATAATTGGTACGTTTTTTCACCTCTAGAACTTTGTCGCACTCGGGAAAATACATGTAACATTTGTTATTTAGTAGTAACTTGTTGTAACGCAGCTTAAGTGGTGAAGAACTGGCCTGAGCTTTCCCAAAGTCAATAAGTTTTTTACGTGCCTGCCTCGTTGCCACAGAGAAATCTTCGCTTAC